ATGGTTGCTGATGTAGATGGTTGCTGATATAGATGGTTTTTGATGTAGATGGTTGCTGATGTAGATGGTTGCTGATGTAGATGGTTGCGATGGTTGCTGATGTAGATGGTTGCTGATGTAGATGGTTGCTGATGTAGATGGTTGCTGATGTAGATGGTTGCGATGGTTGCTGATGTAGATGGTTGCTGATGTAGATGGTTGCTGATGTAGATGGTTGCGATGGTTGCTGATGTAGATGGTTGCTGATGTAGATGGTTGCTGATGTAGATGGTATCTGATGTAGTCGTAGAAAAACCACGTGAGCACAGATAAACGACATGTCAAGCGTGAGTCCACTTCTCCCCAGGGGATTTGGTGGGAACATCAGCAGATGTGTCCCCGAACGTCCTAGAGACCGCGTCGTGTGTGGTCAGCAGTCAGCTCGAGGTTACCATGAAGCGGTACAAAGCCTTCACGTTCCTGAGGGTCACTTTTGGAGAAGCAGGTAACCCCCCCCCCCCCCTTCTTCATTTTTGTCTTACTTTTTTTTTTATTTAAAGATGTGCCCGTGTGTACTTATCATAGAACTAATGAGTTTTTGACAAACTAAATGATATTTGGGGCTCCCGAGTTTTAACTTGTGGATTATAAATCCGTGTCTTACTCTATGAAGCTGTGAAGATGGGTTGACACGTATGGCATTTTAATCAGGTACCACAGAACAGTGGCGACACTTATATTAGCTTAGCCTGGTTTGAGGGACGGAATACGGTAGGGTAGGACAGTAGAATTAAGACCGATTAGGGTGAAGTAGGACCCAGTTCATGACCCATATCCTTCAGTTACACCTGGCTAAATCTCCCGTTGCCTGACTAAATCTCGCGTTGCCTGACTAAATCTCCCGTTGCCTGACTAAATCTCGCGTTGCCTGACTAAATCTAGCGTTGCCTGACTAAATCTCGCGTTGTCTGACTAAATCTCGCGTTGCCTGACTAAATCTCGCGTTGCCTGACTAAATCTCGCGTTGTCTGACTAAATCTCGCGTTGCCTGACTAAATCTCGCGTTGTCTGACTAAATCTCGCGTTGCCTGACTAAATCTCGCGTTGCCTGACTAAATCTAGCGTTGCCTGACTAAATCTCGCGTTGTCTGACTAAATCTCGCGTTGCCTGACTAAATCTCGCATTGTCTGACTAAATCTCGCGTTGCCTGACTAATTCTCCCGTTGCCTGACTAAATCTCGCGTTGCCTGACTAAATCTCGCATTGTCTGACTAAATCTCGCGTTGCCTGACTAAATCTCGCGTTGCCTGACTAATTCTCCCGTTGCCGTGTCCCCAGCTACTGCCAGCCTACCTGCGGTGCTGCAGATATCGTCAGAGACCCCCAGCAACTGGACCTGCCCCAACCTGGAGGTTCTAAAAATAGACCACTTTCAACTGGACTTCAGGTGTCCTTCGTTCAACTCGCTCTTCGGGCGACTCACCTTGATATTTAAACAACCTGTCTCTATCTGTGGCATTAATGTCAGTGGAGGTAGGTCATTAGGTCACTTTGTAGGTCAGTAGGTCATTTTGTAGGTCAGTAGGTCACTTTGTAGGGCGTTACGTCAATATGTCGTTAGGTTTCCATTTATTACTTGGCCTATTCCTGGTTTCTGAATCGTCGATACGTTAAGTAGGGTAGCTAAGGCATTACTAATGTTTTAGTTGGCACAAAAGCCAACGCAGGCGCATTTTTAGCATGCAAGACCGCTCTTTGAACAAATACACTCCTTGACGCCGAAAAGCATTCTCTTAGCTAAAAACTGTATTGCAAGTGGTTAAAATGTAAATTGATTTAACTTAATACAAAATTATACATATAATATATACCTTTAGAATGGTAAGTTGTGTCCTCATAGTCATTAGTATTTTCTTGTACAAACCTCAATAAGGGGAGGGGGGGGGGGGGGAGGGAATAATTGTCGTGGGGTTTCACGTCGTGGGGGGTGAGAATGTTTGAGGGTTTTATTGGGTTTGGGGTAGGGGGGGGGGGGGGGAAATTATGTCCGTGCGGTTATTATTCGGGTGCCAAAATAAACTGTATCAATTTTCCTGTTTAGAAACCAACGCACGTCAAGATTAATTCACTTTTTACTTTCTCATATATACGAAGTATAGAGAAAGTCTTGTAATCGTGCAAAAAAAAAAATCGACATTTTTACAAATCTCGACGTTTTACACTTCACTGATGCGGAAAAACATAATTTTGCAATCTTGTCCGTATGACTGTGTGTTTGTGTGTGTGTGTGTCTGTGTGTTAAACACGATAACTTGAGTACCGTTACAGCTAGGTTGATGAAATTTCCTATATAGGTATTTTATCAAAATTATAGATCCGTATCAACTTTTGAGCGCTTTCCGATAACCGGAAGTGGTACTTTTTTTTTACTTTGAATTTTTTTAAAGACTATAACTTGAGTACTATTTCAGAGAGAGATATAAAATTTCACATGTAAGTAAATTATCTAATTCTCTACCTTCTTTAAAATTTTGAGTAATTTCCGTTGACCGGAAGTAGTAATTTACGCTATTTCCAATTTCTCAAAAAACGCATGTAAATTTATAGGACTAATAATAATGCGCGCTATTATGCACATCTTTTTTTGGCGTTCACTTGGTGTGCAATTTTAAAAAGTTTAAGTATTTAAAATGGATTAAAAATCATGTCTTTATCCCGATTTGCCATCCACTGTTGTTTCATTTAAGAATATTCGAGAAAGTTTAGGAGAGATCATTCCCGGTTTATTTTAATTAAATAAATAACACACAATAAATTTAAGCGAGGTAACCATTCTTTCTCTGTATAGTAAAGCAATTTCATTGTTGCTTCCCTTTGACCGTAAATTTTCCGAATTGTTTTTTATAAAATTTAAAGTTGAATTATCACCACTCAGAATTAGATTTTTAATTTTATACCCTGTTGAAAAAAAATGAAAAAAAAAACAAACATCGTAAATGTAAAATTTGCCGAAAATATAAAGATTAGGTTTAATTTCTTGAATTAATGTTTTACTTCTGTAAACATAACTCAATGTATGTAAGAGAGGTAAATGTGTCCAATCTATTCAATACCTCAATTTCATGGTTGTTTCCCTTAGACCGTAGTTCTCTTTTTTTTCCTTTTTTTTATGGAAACTTAAATGCAACAATCACTGTGCGTGAATTCTGTATTTATATTTTAAAGTTGTTGAGAAATTAGCTTAATTTGAATATGCGATGTGCATTCAAGTTTAATTTCTCGAATAAAACGTATATTTAAATAAATATGATTAAAATATATATAAAAATATATATAAGCGAGGTAACCCATCCATACCTACGAGGTAAATTAATGTCATTGTTCTTTCCCTTTGACCGTGAATTTTTCCGAAAATGTTTTTAATTTAATTTTTTTTAAATTTTTTTTACTTTTTGAAACTCTAAGTTGGATCATCACAGCTTCGAAATTACATATTCAGTTTTGTACTTGTTTTATAAAAATATGGAATTGAAATCTCGAATGCACATATGTGCCGAAAATTAAGCTTGAGTTTAGATTCTTGAACTAAATTTTTCTACTATAAATCTGTCATTTAAGGGAGGTAAAGTTAGCCAAACTATGCAATACACGTATTTCATGGTTTTTCCCCTTTGACCGTAAATTACCTTTTTATTCACACATTATTTAATGAATTTTAATCGGCACAATCAGTACCGAGAGACTGAACTAGTTTGAAAGGATGTGGTTAAAATATAAAATATATCGAAACTTTTCTTCTTTTAACCTAACTCAATTTATCTAAGCAAAGTAATCTCGGCTAAACTATGCAATGAATTAATTTTATGGGTGTTCCCCTTTGACTGTCAATGTTTCTTTTTTTTTTTTAATTAAATTTTAAGTAGGAAAATCACTCACTATTAATTAATAATGTAATTAATTTTGAAGGCTCCTAAGATAATATGTAATTATCAAAATTTGATTATTTGATTATAATTGATATGGCGTAAATATTAAGTTTGTATTTAATTTCTTGAATTAATCTTGTATGTATGTATAAATGAATGTACCGCTATATATTCAGACGAGAGAGACTTGGCTAAGCTTTGAAGCTGACCAATTTCATGGTTGTTTTTTTTTTACTAGAACTTTTCCGAAATTTTTGTTTCTTAAGTCGAAAGAAAAAAGAAAAAAAACTAGGTCATTTAAATGTAAGTGCTCGATTCCCTCTACCACCTAACTAAAAAGTTCCTCCAGTTATCGATCTAACTAAAAAGTTCCTCCAGTTATCGATCTAACTAAAAAGTTCCTCCAGTTATCGATCTAACTAAAAAGTTCCTCCAGTTATCGATCTAAATAAAAAGTTCCTCAAGTTATCGATATTTGAAAAACCAGAAATAGAGTACCACTTTTGGATAGCGATGGACATTAAAAAAAAAAAATAATCCACTAGCAAGCTCTTGTGCATAGATGATTTTCTTAAAATATATAATGCACCACTATGTAAATAACCCATATGTAGAATAACCGTACAATTATCACATAAGATAATGATCATGATATATCCCGACATATAATGACTATGATATATCCCGACATATAATGACCATGATATATCCCGACATATAAGGACCATCATATATCCCGACATATAATGAACATGATATATCCCGACATATAATGACTTTGATAAATCCCGACATATAATGACCATGATATATTCCATCATAAAATGACTTTGGTAAATCCCGTCACCCTTTGACCCTGTCCCACCCATTGACACCCACTGACACCCATTGACACCCACTGACACCCACTGACACCCACTGACACCCACTGACACCCATTGACACCCATTGACACCCATTGACACACATTGACACCCACTGACACCCACTGACACCCATTGACCCATTGACACCCACTGACACCCATTGACACCCATTGACACCCACTGACACCCACTGACACCCACTGACACCCATTGACACCCATTGACACCCATTGACACACATTGACACCCACTGACACCCACTGACACCCATTGACCCATTGACACCCACTGACACCCATTGACACCCATTGACACCCACTGACACCCATTGACCCATTGACACATTGACACCCACTGACACCCATTGACACCCATTGACACCCATTGACACCCATTGACACCCATTGACACCAACTGACACCCATTGACCCATTGACACCCACTGACACCCACTGACACTCATTGACACCCATTGACACACATTGACACCCATTGACACACATTGACACCCACTGACACCCATTGACACCCACTGACACCCATTGACACATTGACACCCACTGACACCCACTGACACCCATTGACACCCACTGACACCCACTGACACCCATTGACACCCACTGACACCCATTGACACCCATTGACACCCATTGACACATTGACACCCATTGACACCCACTGACACCCATTGACACCCACTGACACCCACTGACACCCATTGACACCCACTGACACCCATTGACACCCATTGACACCCATTGACACATTGACACCCATTGACACCCACTGACACCCATTGACACATTGACACCCACTGACACCCACTGACACCCATTGACACACATTGACACCCATTGACACACATTGACACCCATTGACACCCATTGACACCCACTGACACCCACTGACACCCACTGACACCCACTGACACCCATTGACACACATAGACACCCACTGACACCCATTGACACCCATTGACACACATTGACACCCACTGACACCCACTGACACCCATTGACACATTGACACCCACTGACACCCATTGACACACATTGACACCCATTGACACCCACTGACACCCATTGACACCCACTGACACCCATTGACACCCATTGACACATTGACACCCATTGACACCCATTGACACCCATTGACACCCATTGACACTCATTGACACCCGACCCCCAGGACGTCCGATGTTCGGGGTTAGAGGTCTGGAACTTCTGCACGGCAGGACGGTCTACGGCACCGCCCTGTCCACGGACCCACAGAAGATCAACCAGCGGTTCTGCAACGTCAGGCGACCAAATGAGGACATCACCTGGAGAATGGCCTTCACCGTTCCGGTCAAAGTTCAAGAGATTAAATTATTTTTTAACGGTGAGCCTCTACCGCATACAATGCAGATACTATTTTTTTTTTCATTTTTATTTAATTTAATAGGGTTGATCAACTAGGTTTAGAGACTTATTTTATTAAAAAATATTAATAAAAGCTTTTTTTTTTTTTTTACAAAAGTTTGGATTTTTTTTTAATTTGTAGTATGCGTTATTTTTTGTAACAGCTCTTTTTTTAATTATTGAGAAGTGATTAGAATTTAAATATATTTTAAAATCTATAAATCTTTTAATCTTTTAATTTAATTTAAAGAACTAAGCTAATTAGAATTTTACAATTGATATTCTTGCATTGTCACTGGAGACAAAAATGGATGGTAGTTTGATCCAGCCCGCCCCTCTCCACAGTAATATGGACGTAATTTAAAAAAACAAACTCAACATCATACTTGAAACCCCCCCCCCCCCTAATTTGGAAACCTCACGCATGAAATTCCATTCATTAAACAACACCTAAAATATTTTAATTTGGAAACCTCTAATACGACATAAAATCTTTCTAATATGTAGACCTCTAATGTGTAGACCTCTAATGTGTAGACCTCTAATGTGTAGACCTCTAATGTGTAGACCTAATGTGTAGACCTCTAATGTGTAGACCTCTAATGTGTAGACCTCTAATGTGTAGACCTCTAATGTGTAGACCTCTAATGTGTAGACCTCTAATGTGTAGACCTCTAATGTGTAGACCTCTAATGTGTAGACCTCTAATGTGTAGACCTCTAATGTGTAGACCTCTAATGTGTAGACCTCTAATGTGTAGACCTCTAATGTGTAGACCTCTAATGTGTAGACCTAATGTGTAGACCTCTAATGTGTAGACCTCTAATGTGTAGACCTCTAATGTGTAGACCTCTAATGTGTAGACCTCTAATGTGTAGACCTAATGTGTAGACCTAATGTGTAGACCTCTAATGTGTAGACCTCTAATGTGTAGACCTAATGTGTAGACCTAATGTGTAGACCTCTAATGTGTAGACCTCTAATGTGTAGACCTCTAATGTGTAGACCTCTAATGTGTAGACCTCTAATGTGTAGACCGCTAATGTGTAGACCTCTAATGTGTAGACCTCTAATGTGTAGACCTCTAATGTGTAGGCCTCTAATGTGTAGACCTCTAATGTGTAGACCTCTAATGTGTAGACCTCTAATGTGTAGACCTCTAATGTGTAGACCTCTAATGTGTAGACCTCTAATGTGTAGACATCTAATGTGTAGACCTCTAATGTGTAGACCTAATGTGTAGACCTCTAATGTGTAGACCTCTAATGTGTAGACCTCTAATGTGTAGACCTCTAATGTGTAGACCTCTAATGTGTAGACCTCTAATG